CATCATGGTCAGTGGCCGTATTGTCACCCTGGGAAGGGACTGCCGACAGCTCATCCACGGTGCAGCGGCGAATCACTTGGTAGTGGGCGTCGCCAGGGTTTAGGGTTTAGGGTCAGCTTATGTCGGCTTATGTTTAAGGGCTCAGGGTCTTTCGACCGTCGGCCTCATACGGGCACTGACTCGAGCATGTAGTTGAGTCACCCACAACATGTCCGTACTGAAGGGTCCAGCATCGTAGGATCTGGTAGACTCTCGAGTCAGACCCAATCCCGATAAGCTGGTAAAGAACAAGTAAAGATCAATGGTCAGGAAGAGAAGGCACTTGCCCTGACCTAAACCCTATACCCGAAAGCCCTCTCTCCTAAAACCCTAGCTCGTGCTGGGCCCATGTTGGAGCTCTGAGCTCTCGGTGGTCCCCCAAGCGTTCGGCCTAGGGCTTGCCGTACCCCTCCTATTGCCTTATTTGCGACACTCATTTCTCAGATGAGGCAGGACAGCAGACGTAGCTTCACCGGGTTTTGCTTCAAGCTGATTCCTGGAGCTCATTTGGGTCGGAGGCACCCTGAAACTTGTAGTTCCCAGGCCATCCAGAGCACGTTGAGACCTTGGAGTCTCAAGGCCGTCGTGCTGAATTTAAGGACTGCTCATGGACACACACGAAGGTGGTCTGACAACCGGTTCACCGCGTAGCTACAGAAATCCGCAGTCCATGCAGGCTGGAAATAAGAGATCAAGTGAAGCTCAGAAAATGAAGTGTCAAGGTTTCAACGCACCGCAAACCCAAGCCCATACAGCTGCAAAACGCGCCAAGTGTCACAGCAGTCCTGCAACGCACATCCTTGGCTCTCGTATCATTGAAGCATAGTGTCAGAATCCTACGCAAACAAATTCAAAAACGTGATGCCTTCCTTGGTCGGCCTCTCCTTTAAAAGGCTTGCTAGTCCCAAGGGTCTCGTAACGCGCCGACTGCAAGAAGGCCTGACAGGAGGCAAAGAGAATGGAGCCAGCGGAGCTCGGGAGCTAACAGGGAGTCTTCGGACGTCTCCAAATCGCCCGGCGCCTTCAAGCGCTTCCACTTGGACTTGCGCTGCTCCTCCGAAGTGTACTCCTGGAAGAAGTTGAAGCAATGAGCTATTAGCAGCTAGAAGGAATTGTTCACGATCCTTGCGGGACGAGGTTGGAGCGAATGCAAGACAAACACGCCAACAAAGCCTTTCGGTGGACATCTTGCGACTTGCCGAGAAGCCGCTGCCAGACTTGCCCTTCGTCTTCCACTGTCTCACTTGAAAATCGAAGTCCGACTTCTGTGCTTCTTGCACAGGCCTCTGTTGTCTAGACACCAACGAAAGGGTCAAAGGCTTCCTCCGAGTGATCTCCACTGAGTAGGTTTCGAAGATCCGGCGCCCGATTCTCCTGTCACAATCGCTTGGTTTGGGGACTCTGCTTGTTAAGGTCTTAAGTACGGCCGGGTTCTCTGGGACTTGCCGGAGCGTAGGGAAGCAGCTGGGTGCCCCTATACAGGCCCGAATTCGTGGGATGCTGAGTAGATTAGACGGACCCCCTATATAAACCCACGGCGATTCTTTATGATCCCATGAAACGAGCCCCAACAGTCCATCTCGTCATCCGGCTCGTTCAAGCTGTTCATAAACTGGTCATGCAGTTCTTTGTCGAAGAACTCGCTGCCTGCACGACCAGCAAGAAGGAACTTTGGAGTCTCTCGAAGTTCAGCAGATTGCATTACATTATACTATAGTATAGTGTAGTATATTATATCATGCTGTATTATACTAGAGGATACCATGTTATACTATATTTCATATCCAGGTATGTTACAATTCATTGGCAGCTTGCTGCCAGAGCTGGCACAGGTTTGAACTTCCCAGCTTCGGATCTTCGACATTTTGCTCGTGTTGAGCTTTCATTTGTGGGAATTGGCCCGAAAACGACTATACTCGCTGTAGACCATAATTCCTTGTTGCTGCACACCTGCAAATCGCGTGGCATCTACTCGGCCATGCTAGCACATGATTTTATCTTTTCCCCCCTTTCACACCTGATCTGGCTGGCGGCGTGCCCACCAACGAATCATTGCAAATCTAGAATCTAGTTATCTCAGAATAGTTCTTGAACTTTTCACGGCTCCCTGCTTCAAACAGGCCTACTTGCAAACTATATATGCATGTTGAAAGCTCGGCGTAGTTTTGCGACAGGAAATCAATGATGACACGCCAATCCGAAAACCTGCAAAAGGAACGAAGACTACACCCGAATTCTAACGTCTGTGGAGTGATGGCGCGTTAACATTACACGCACACCCGCCCTCTGCACAGAAATGTGGTGATTCCAACAGAACAACCCAAGAACCAAGACTACCCGAAATGATCCCACATGCAACCGGCAAGGGAAGAACAGCACCGACATGTTTCCTGCGCTGATGTTTCAGGCAGCTCATATCCCATACAAAAAGTACAGGTCTGAGTGCACGTCTGGTCGCGGATCCCGCTTCGACGAGACATCACGAGAGTTCCGTGAGCACTCCTTCATATGCTTGATGAGTCCCAGAACGAACTCGCCGTGAGTGGGTTACCCACCTCTGCCCCCGACGAAGCACAAAGAGGGCCGAGGCGGCCTTCGCCTGCATGCCTCCGGAAACAGCAAGTGGAGATGTTGTTCGAGAACGGCAAATAATCCACGAGAGATTCAGTCTTGCGGTTGTACCTCACCGCAGCACTGAGACTTCTCATTTTCCTGGCCCCCTTCCTGCACCTCGACCTTGTGGCAATCGATACAGGGACCAACCGCTCACAGGAACAGGGATGCCGCAAGCTTGGTGCGAAGTGCGACTGTGAGGAGTGGCCCCGCGGCGAATGCTGTGGGGCAAAAGAAGAAAACATGGGAGCTCAAGAAATTTCGTGAGGAGTGCGATTGTCCCGACTGGGCGACATGCTGTGAGGAGGGCCTGACTTGCAGCTACGAGAGCTCAGCTTGTGGGGCTGATAAGGTGTGCAAGATCAAAATGGGGGGGGGGGGGGGGGTGATTGCGAAGAGCAGTTGTTCGGGACACCATGCGCGAGATATGTACACGAGCCCCGGAGGACATGCGGAGCGCCACCACAAACACCAAGAATCGGCAGGACACCATGGCGGCAGTGTAGTTCGCATACAAGTGACTAGCGACTGGCGACTGAATCAAGCCTTGAGCCGAGCCGTAGCCGTAGCCTTGGTTTGGGCCATTCAAAGAGCCAACAGCAAGAAAACGGATACAAATTTGCCACAAGCCAAACAAAAGAGCGGGTCCTCTACGGAGGACAGGAACTCAAGTTGCAGCTCCAAAACCAAACGTTGAATTCAGCCAGAAGTGCCATGGAAGCTCCCAAGCTGTGCCCGGTGATCCGAAGCCTCTGGACATGAAGCGCTGAAGCGCTACGCGAGAGACCCGGAAAGTCACAAAAGACGGAGGAGTCTTTTCGACTCCTGACACCCTCAAGACCGACCGCGAAGGTCATCGTTGTCTTCAGCCCGTGGCTGGCAAGTGGGGCACTTTATCTCCAACACTTATGCCAAGGATCACCTGGAAATCAGGTGGGTCAAGTGCTCCGTAGAAACTGGCCATTCGCACGTTGGTGATTCCTGTCTACATGAGCATCGTGAAGCCGAAGCATGCTTGCAAACGGTCTAATTCGGCCGGGCACGGGCTTCTTTGTAGCTTGTAGCTTATTCACATTCATGCCCTGGTTCCCCGTTTTCGCTCGTTGCAGTGGGCAACTTTCGCAGGCCTTAGGCAGCTCCCTGCCTTGGTCCAGCATGGCGGGGATGGCGCTCTTCCTCGTCTTCTTGGCTTTGTCTCCTGCGCGGTCTTTACTTCCAAGGCTTTCAAGCATTTTTACTCGCGAACTGTGACTCGAACCGACATACTGCAGATCAGTCTTCCGGCTGACTGTTGGCGACGTTCAGTGAGCCCTCGGCTCTGTTCAGCTATGGGCCTACGGCGTCCGTTCCCGGGTGGCCTGCAGCTTGTGAAGCTTGCGAGACTGCGCTCGCCTCACTCTTGCCCGACGCCTGCCAAGGAACAAAGCCCATCGCCGAAGTTCAACCTAATTACAACTTCTTGCTGAATACCGCTCAGCACAGGGATGGAGGTTGACTCAAGTCCCGAAGACTTGAAACACACAGGCAAGATGAATCGGATGTTACTGGCAGTTGGGAGTCTTGCTGCTGTGCCTCCCCCCCGTCCTTCTTTCACTGTCTCGAATCCCAGCCTCCATATATCTTGATCGAGCAGACCTACTATCCTTGCTCCTTGAAGGTATACTGCCTAAAAGGATCTCTACGAGTAGCTTGACAAGTGCCGGCCCTACGCAGCCAGGCTCCAACCTTCCAGAAAACTCCTACTAAGTATCAGTCACATCACTGGGTGTGCGAGAAACAGGAGCTTCTGAAAAGAAGGTCCCTTATTTTGGGGTCCTTATAATAAGGATCCTACTATTTAGGGTACTATATTAAGGTCCCCTCTTTTCGGAAACCCCCAAACGGGTTGGTTTCCCAAGCCTTGCCTCAGAGGCCTCGGAACATCCCGTCGGACTGTGGACCTCCTTGGCGATTCTCCTCAGAGCTCTTCACACGTCTGGCTCGTCCATATTAAAGGGGTTTGTGGCCCCTGAGGCACGAAGCTACGCAAGCCAAAACAGCCTCGGCACTTGGAGGAGCAGGAGCTTTTGCGAGGTTTCAGGGGTTTTGAACACATCCACCACGACAGTGCGGGCCGATTCAGCCACTTCCAAACAGCGGTGCAGCAACCCTCCTTCGCAGGCAGGTATCGCCTGCTTCATGTCAACATGCCAGCAACGTTACGGTTATCTAAGACAAGCAGAACTTTACAGGCATTCACAAGGTCTCAAAATGTCTCATCACCCTCCCGTTGCTCATCCTTAGGGGACTTAGTATGCCAGGTTAAGAAATACCTTAACTGGGGTTGCAAGTCGCTCCTGCAATAGATGCTGTGTCTTTCCCTAGTTCAGAAGTCTGCTCCATCAAGTGGCCCTAACTCATCTTCGAGTCTCTTCTCGCAGGTCACAGGATGACTCCAAAGGCTGTCGCGACCTCTATGGCTACGGTCAAACTCGATTAGGTAGCTTCTGACAATGGTAACCACTGCTTGGCTACTGTGTCCGTCGCAAGAAACTAGATGCATGGCGAGACACACAGCATTACTCGAGGGTCGCCTCTTGTTGTTCCCGACAACGGAATTGCCAGGAAGGTCCCTGGACAGCAACATTGGTAATGTTTCGATCGGAAATTCGACTCTTCGCGTGGCCTCTAAGCTGCGCCTAGCTCTGAGAGTCACATTCGACGGGGCTAGCCGACAACAAGTATCATCGATGAGGGCGAGATGAACGATGTAGCAGGATGCCCATCCAGAAAAGTGCTCCAATTGACCAGCCGGTCCGATAAGGAAGCGGAAGTGACGGATGTGAGCAAGACATAGCTAGTCGGTCAGCTGTCCAGCTAACGCTGACTGCATTGACGACATCGACCATAGACGACTACAGTAACTATAGTATGGATCCTACTTTCTGCGCTAGAAAACCATAAACCGCCATAAACTGGCTGCTGAAGCCCGACAACACAACTTCGACGCAAGTAGCTAAAAGAGTACACTTTGCTGGGCACCACATTTACCATGGTACTGGTTTACCATTCGACTTTCCCTTTCTCGCATGTGTTGCTCCTCAGCACGGCCACACTCACCGCATGAAAGCATCAGAAAACAACGGAGGTAATAGTGTGGACAAACTGACATTTCCACGTTGCACTCTTTCCGAGGCCAGCGATATGCGAGGTCCGTTCAGCTCTCAGTCCGGGGGAAACTTGCGTACAGCTGCTTGTTGGTGCAAGAGCAGGTCGCTCCTAATTCATGTTTTCCACCTGAACCTTCAGACTTCCTGAATGTAGCTTCCCTGTTCTCTGACCTTGGTGGCTGTTGGCTTGTGACTTGCGGTCTCTGGTTTTCTGAAATAGGGCGGCTTGCTTTGCTGACTCAATGTGCACTGACCTCGACTTGCTGACACAAGCTCGTCGCCTGGTTTTGTTTTGCATCTGCTTTGCAGCGACTCAACCAGGACGGAAACAAGGGCCTGGTTAAAGCGGAAAGCTTTAACGTTTAAATGCCCCGGCGGCCGATTAAAGCCCAAAGCCGCTTAAATTCAAGCACCCCGGCCCAATGAAACCCCAAGGCTGTTTAACCGCCCGCCCTGGATTCAGGGCAGCCTCGGCCCTAGCTGTGCGAGCTCGGTAAGGTGCTGCTTGAGGAGCTGGTCTAGGAGTGCAACAAACCTCGAAATCTTCCGTGGCAAGGCTTCGGCGTTAGGGCCTAAAGGACAGGACATGGAAAGTTTCAGCAACGATCATCATCATGCTACTACCGTCGCTACAGGTAAGAGCAACAACACCGCTGAGCCTCCACGCCTAGGGCACTGCTGAGACATGTCTCTGTTTGCCTGTTAACTGCGCCAGGACGCGGCTGTGATGCGTCACCTCTCATCTGGCCCATTTGGGCGATTGTTGGAGGCCTGGCGGTTCACTCACTTCAGATTGGGGCGGAAGGAACCCGCGACTCGAGTTTCGCTTGCCTGCGCAACTCTGTGGAATCTCTCCCGGCGACCGCAAGAAAGCCCCCCACTGCCCAAGGGCCTTTCGATCCAACAAGCTTCATGATCGCGCTTGGGGACAGGGGGCCTCGGCCATCCGTCGGCAAGTTTCCCAAGCAGAAAGAAGTTCTAAGCGCGCACGAAAGCCACCGGCCTGAATTCAGCAAAGGGGCTGCCGACTTCTCACATTCTTCAAATGGAGGTCGAGCATGTTGCGGGAGTTGGCTGTGCCAGCCAAAATGCTGGGCCAAGTTCTACGAGCTGGCGCGATCTCCTATCTCCTGATACTTGGCAGGGCAATCCGTGAATTAACAACTTTAGTCTGAAATTGGACTGCAAGACTTACCACCATGCAAGTGCCAGTGTCATGCTTGCTCTTCATTGCTGTTTGCTTGCTTGTGTCCACCGATTCTGAGCTGCCGTGGCAGCGGACATCACCCTGCAAGTGATACACTTGGCTGTGCAACCTTGCAGACACGGTGTGCAACAAACCCTTCGTCCCTAGCGAGCAGGTCGACGTCACATTTGGCAATCAAGGCAACAACAAAAACCAGCACCCTCCGTTGGCCCTCTTGCCCACTCCGGTCCCCCACCTCGATCTGCCGTTGCATCAACAGCATGTCCTTGGTAGGTTTTGTGGCGGATGCCCTTTGCAACTCTTCCTCCACGCCATGGCCCCAACATGCAGGAGTTGCAAAGTGTTCTCCTCGAAACTGAGCTAGGCTCGCGTGACCAGCAACTGAAGACACCAACTAAAGAGCTTCTCTCCAAATTTCGATAGGACGAGAATGACTCGATTAGCCCGGAGGCCAGCCAAGGAAACCCTACTCATCTCCTTAGCCGAGGTGCAACCTCCTTGGGTAGAGCTCCCCGTCCCAGCTGCGACAGGTCCTTAGATAGAGCTTAATGGAAGGACTCGCCCAGACTACCACGGAGCCACATGCAAGGACACTACACCACCACCACAGCGACAAATCGCGCTTCCACGAACACGATCTCAGAAATATTGCCTGCAAAGAGCCATGGTGTTGCGCTGGGTGTTCGCCAAGCTGAAGCCGACCCTGAGCATGGAAAGTCGGGATTCTACCTGACTTCGACAGTCGCTGCATGGCCAGAGAAGGCGCCTCTTCTGCTCCCAGTCATAGACGGTGTAGTATCCTGCGAGAAGAGAGAGGACAAAAGACTCGAAGACGAAGACGACTAACAAAAACAATAATAAACAAAAATGATAATAAACAATAGTAAAACATTAATACATAATAATAACAATTAATATCAATAAATAATAGCAATCATAGTAATGATAATAATCGTACAAATAATAACAAGAATAAGGAGGAAATTGAAGGCGAGTGGCTGTGGAGCACCGGCTCGCCGAGGATGAAGAGCTTCGGGCCCAGAGGTGCCGGAAGGTTCACCTCGGATCCAAGGGTTTAGGGTTTAGGGGTTTAGGGGTTTAGGGGTTTAGGGGTTTAGGGGTTTAGAGTGTAGGGTTTAGGGTTTAGGGGTTTAGAGTTTAGGGTTTAGGGTTTAGAGTTTAGGGTGGTAAACAACCCAAAGAGTGATGGTAAAATAGCAACACCAAGAGTACCAGTGGTGAGCCTGGTAATAAATAACAAGAACCATGATACGGATACGGATAATGATAGTAATCATCATCACCATACTGGGTGAGAAAGTCGAGGGCCTGATTGTAGCTCAGCTCTCGCCAAGCCACGGCCATGACCCGCGGGCTGCAGTTGCGCTTCACTGGGCCCTGTGGACTCACCGCACACTGCCCGCAACTTTTGCAAGTCAACACAGTCTATGAGTCTATCCTTTCGGCACGGAGGAATTGGACGCTTCTTCAACTCTGCTCCTCCGGAACCCGCGTCGATCTCATCAGAAACATGAAACAGCCTTTTCCTCTCTCACACTCTGAACTCGGTCCTACACAGACGAGCCAAAGCCCATGTCAAATCCCTTTGACCAGGGTGTGGTGAATGTTGCTGGAGGAGACAGCCCTCAGGCCTCGTCCTCCTTGGCTGCCTCCTCCTTGCCCTTCTCTTTGGCGTCGTCCTTGTCCGCCTTATCCTCTTGCTTCGTCTCATCCTTGGCCACGTCCTTGCCCTCTTCCTCGGTGTCCTGCACGCGAGGAATGCAAAGTTCGGCTGTATGATCACAGATCTGACCATATGCTCCGAACACCTTGCACACCAGAGTCTCAAGACAAGTGTTCTGTGCTCTGCCTTCGCTTCTGATGCGGCCGCGGCTGCATCTTGCGAGCCAGGTTGCCCAGTGCCTTCCTTGGCTTCCTCCTGCGGCTGAGAGACTCATCCCGAAGGGCTCTGAAGACGTCAAAACACATGCCAGCAGAGCAGGCTCTCGCGCACCTCATTGAGCCCTCGTCGCGCTGTCTCAACGGCCAGTGCACTCCAAACTAGAAATCTGGAGGCCTCGACTGGTGCTAGGAGCTTTGCTACTAAAAAGACCTAGGAGCAGCTTTGTGAAGGTCTCCTTGTCGGCGCCCTCACCGGAAGCTTCGGAGTTCTCTGCAGGCCTGGCTTCAGCACACGAGGGGAAGCATCCAGCTTCTCAGAGAATCCCAGAGACTACGGTGCTGCGGAGAAGTGTTCGGGTTTTTTCGACGCGGCTTCACAAAGGCCTTCGTGTACTCATCTGCAGTTGGCCTGCACTTATCTAAGCTACTGCAAGCAAGTATTTTTAACGACAGTTTCATGCTTCGTGTTGCCACGCTGCTTGCAAAATGTACCTCCCACACTTCCCAAACTTCGAGCCTCGTTGCCTCGCCGTCCTGCAGTTCACGGAGTGCAAATGGAATCCAACACATCCCCCAAAGGCGCCGCTTCGCATGGACCACGACTGAAACGACCGCTACGAAGGACCGCCTTTCATCTCAAGGCTTCTGAATTTCTGAGTGTTACTCGCCCCAAGACCCAACAGCTTCGCTCTGATCGCACGTCTGCTGTCACCCTCAAGATCCGATCAAAAGCCTTTGGGACCTTTTGACTGGCGCCCTCTGTGACCCTACTTCTCTCCTCGACGGTCTCAGCGAGCGATCTGCAGTGGATCACTAGGTTCAGGCCCCACTGCTGGCTGTTCCCATCGATCCTGACCGAAGAGGCACATGCCATCGGGGGGGATTGGTGGCGGCAAGAGTTCTTGTTCGGTCTCCCCCCTTACCACCAGCCTCTTGACACAGATCTTCTCCTGCTTGGCGGATACCTCAAAGCGATCCGGAAACTGGTCCTGGCTCAGGTTGGTCACGACTCTGTTACCCCAAGCATGCACCAATGCCAGCTGGCACCGTCCAGTAGCACTTGAAGTCACCCATTGCCCCGGTTGTGTTGCGCCGGGCCTTTCGCCGGTTGGCTGCATCCACGTCACAAGTCACAGGAACGGGAGGCCTCGGGCTTTTGGAGAGATGCAGCTCTGAACTACGCAGACCTACGAGATCCACCCGTTGCGCAGTCTTCAGCATCCCCCTGCGCAGCTACGTCTCGCACAGCTGCCTCAAGATGCTGTCCAATCTGTCTGGGACCGGTGCTGGATGCATTTCTCGGGCTGCTCACCAAAGTGGCTGCCAATCACCAGCTCCTGTCACTATACATCGTCACATAGTTTGTGCTGGAAAAGGGCTCGCAATGGCTCGCATCGCTGCAGAGCTTTGGCTTCCAGAAACGCCTGAAACTCATTCGCCCCCCCCCCCCCCCCCCGGTCCCTTTTTCCACAAGGCCCCGGACCCCGCCTCCATGCCCTCTAGGGCTGGGTGGACCACCTCCTTGCATCGAAGGACGAGGTCAGCCTCTGATCAGATTCGAGCTGGAGACTTTCTCAAAATTATTGATTCTATTCAGCATTCCTCCATAAACTAGATGAAGCATCGTGGAGCTTCGGGTCCTCTGCAGCCCTCGATTTCTGAAACTCCTAAGTCAAGGAGGACGGGTCGTCATCCAGGGCCTCCGGAGTTGCTACATGTGCAGCCGTGCTTCATGCAACCTTCTGAAGCTCCAAACCTTCGATTCCTGCCGGCCTCGTCGATCTCACTCGGGTTGTTGCGTGGGGTTACACAGATCTGGTTGTCCTTCTTGCGGACCCGGAACCTCGTCAGCGCAGGCTTACGAAGACTTGTCTGGACCTATCGAGAAGCATCGTGGAACATCGATAGCTGGAACATGCCGAAGCCAAGGGATTTGTTGAGGTGGCTCTAGTAGAGGCGGCACCTGCCAGCCAGAAACCCTGCCAAGACTCCCGAGAGTGGGTCACTGAATGAGACTCCGTCTGAGAGTTTTTGTCTTAATTGCTGAATTGCTGGCTGCAGTGTGCCACTACCAAAATAGCAGCAAGAACCTTTTTTGAACAGAAGATGATGCTTTAGATGGCGATCGCATGATTTACTCCCTGCACGGGTACCGTCATGGATCTGTACCTTGTTTAACCCGGCTGAACCAGGTCGCAACGGTGGACTTGAGCCAAGCAGCTGCTCGGTGTCCTCGCATTTCACCTCCCAGAAAGGAGTGTCAACCCTACAAACGATACCGTCACGCCCTTGTGACATGATGTGATGGGCGGGTCGAAATGGGCCGATTGGAGCTCGAGCACACACACACACATAAACACGCTTGCGCGAAACAGCAAAAACAGGAACACGAACCAACGAACCTGCGAGCGAGCGAACGAGAGAATGTGACAGTTTACCATGTACTTTCACATGCGAAGGCTGTCGAAAGTCTGCCCCCTGGCCTCGGCAAAAGGCTGCACACACTTCTCGGTGCCGTCTTGCCGACCAATGTAGATCGCCTCCACGCCTTCAACGCAGGGCTCGGCTGGTTTCGTGCAGGCTTTCTTCTGAAGGTCTCAAGTGCATCATGGGGGCATATGTGGCTGGCATCATTCGTGCCTTTCAAGTTGGGGCTAACCTTTTTTCGATGTCATTCCCCCGACCAAAGTAAGGAGAAGCAAGCGGATATTCGGCGCCCTCTGAGCCGGCCTTTCTGCTTGGGCCCTTCCAGGCCAGCTGTGTGGGGATTCGGGCACAGGAACTCCAGGTCCAAACCTCGGAGACTCTCTTTCCCCGGGTTTAGGGTTTAGGGAGAAGATCTAACGTCATGTACTAGAAAAAGAATATGATATGATATGATATACACAAACACATACATATACATACATAGACTACATAGACCCTTTCGATATATACACACAGGTATATTTATCTAATTAACTGATTTCTTTGGCGGGGATGTCGCTGGGTTTGTTGGGCGGCAACGGACGCATCGGCCCGAACTTTTATGGGCTCTATTTCTCACGGACCAGTCTAGATACGTCTTAAATGGTTCCAGGCAAGCGAATGCCCACTGGGTCCCTAACTTCAGCACCCTTTTCCCGTGAGTTTTCTACAGTGGCAGTTGCATGCGATGCTCAGCTTTGTTCAGTAACAGCTCTGACGTTCGCGAGGCGGAAGAGCGAGTGTTGGTAAAAGTCTAACTAACTGATGAATGTCGGAGACATACATATCTATGGGAACTCATCTACAGGTACAGGGACAGGGGAGAGTCATGCTGGGGATACTAGCGGCTAGCATCAACATACCGGTAAACTAATACAGACCGCGCTTCACAGATAATGAATGCTTGCCCCGGCCAGGGCACCCCAAGATCCCGGTTGATCCACACGTTCGACGCAGATCTCCTCGCCTGCAAACATTCCAGTTTGGCTTCCAAGATTCAAGTTAGGGGTCCGTCATCTTCGGCAGCCGGCCTTTAGCCGAGACTGTGAACTTGTCAGTGTAGATGTCACTGCGCTTGTTGGCGGCCTGGGGTGGTCGAGAAATACCTAGCCGAACGAGCAGGACAAAACCATAATAGTAGCATCGTGGAGGTGGCAGTGTTGCTGTGGCTGGCGTCGTACTGGTACCTCTCCTGGCAGTGCTGACATTAGCACCGGTACTCGTATGTCGAGTAGAAGCCGAGGACATCGTCGTGATAGTAACAGACCGTTGCCGCCCATGCTCAATAACATTGGCTTTAGCCCGTAGCACTCGTCGTCATCATCCTTATCGTGGTGGCGATTCTGGTGCTGGTGCTGGTGCTGGTGNNTGCTGCTGGTGGTGCTGCTGGTGGTGGTGGTGGTGGCGGTGGCGGCGGTGATCGTTGCCATCACCGCCTCCGTCGTCGCACTGATCGTCGTTGCAGGAGTAGTGGCACAATCGTAGGACGAACGTCTCGACACAATATGAGAAGAGCCATGTAGGTGTCAGAAGGCCATCATCAGAGTGAGCGTCGTCTTCTTGCTTTCCGGGCTTAGAGATGCGGCATTGCAGTGACCTCACACTCCGTTTTTGCAGGACAAGGCGCATCCGGATGGCACTTCACTGCGTGAACCGGCCTGCCCAACTGGTTGCACACGTCATAAAGGCGAGTTCTTGCGGCCGTTTTGATCTTTTTGTGTCTGCATTCCTGGCTGCGGCTTTGGGAACTGTTCCTGAAACTGTCACTTCCGTGTAGATAAGACATCGCAACCCCCGCCCCCAGTACAGCATAGACCGCTGTTTTCGGCTTTTGGTTGTTGAGGCTGTCTGTATGGTGGTGACTCCGTCAAGAAAAGCCATGACATCAAGATTGCAAGTAGCCGGTCTGGAATGTTGCTGCTTAGGGTGACCTTGGCTGTCCCTGAAAAACAGAACAACACCAGAGCAGCAGTACTGGACCAACAACAGGTAATAAGTAATATTCTTCTTATGCTCACGGCAGATGCACATTGAAACAAGTTTTGCGATGCTGAAAACACTCATGATCAAAATTAGCTCACCGGTACTCCGCAAAACTGTTTGCTACATCAACTCACGCGGCAGATTGCCCTTCGTGGTTCGGCCTGCTTCGAGGTCTCTTGCAATGCACTGCTATTCAAGACCTTACCACAACACAGCTGGCTCTTGTGGGCTGTGCTCCCCTCTCCTCGGGGACCTCTTGTTCTATACTACTAATCTTTAGCACTGCCGATGTGTTGATGGTGAAGGATACCACAGCCGCTGCCGCTCCTTTGCTTCTGCAGTGGCATTGGTGCTAGCAACAGGGCTGTACTCTGCTAGACTCTAGACCTGAATTTAAGTGCCGCTGGTTTGCTTCGTTTCCTTTCTGGTAATGTCCTGATTTTGCCTTCGCTACTTTCAGCGCCGGCCTTTTTACAGTGCTGTTGGCAGCTGGGGCAATTGTGCTTCTGTCGTACTCCTAGGCTCTCGATAACCAGATATTGCATTTCAGTTTCACAAGCTTGGGGGGGCCCTGCCTGATACACTTCGTCGAACCTGCCGTGTTGTTCTTGTTCGGCCCAATGTGGACGAGGTGGTAGCCGGGTCGCAGGGCTGCTTTGGCCTGGACGGTCTTTGAGTAAGAGCCCTTCCCTGTCTGGTAAGGCAAGGGTCGACGTCTCTTCTGCATCGGGTCCCAGAGAGTCAAACACTTCCTTCTCCCTCTCCCTCTCGCCCTCCCTCCCTCTCGGTTTCTCAGAACCTATGCACTACCTGCTATACTGCAGAGCCAACAGACCCACCAGAGGCAAACAGCTGTCAACGATTGCAGTGCTCCAGAATGTGCCCAGCACCGTCGGTACGCCGGTGTATCGCACAGGGCAAAGTCTACACCACACCGAGGCATCATACACAGGTAACCAGATGCTCGAAGTTGGGCTGGAAGTCTGCGTGTTTTGGCTGAATTTGGGCTCTTCACCGCGCACTTCTGTTCGAACCCGTTCGCAAGGCGCATTCGCGATGGACGCTGACCTCTTCTTCTCTCACTGTTCTTCGTCTGTTGCCGAAAACAGTATCCTCTAAGGCAAGTTGGGGGGAACGCACCAACTGTCAGTATGAATCACGCCGAAATTCGACATCATGCTCAAGACGAGGCTACATTGCGAGCCTTTGTATTCTTCTTTCTCTTGTCAGTCTCGTCCTCCACAGTGACTCCTGCCGCAACTTCTACACAATTCCATGGCATCATGCAGATGAGCTAGTCGAGGTCATAACATAGATAGAACCGCAAAAGTAAGCATGCCAGCATGCCACGACTTCGGACACAAACACAGAAGTGCGGAAGTCTTCCTGCCATGTCCGACCGGCTTTTACAACGACACCGTGACCGGTACTGAATTCAGAAAACCGAAACTCGAGGCGAAGATCCTTTCTCGGAGCTTACGGTGACGCCCTCGCGCAGTGGCAGCCTGCGCATGTAGCCTTGGCTGCAGCTCTCGATGCAACGTGAGACTGTAACTGGCCATCATTGGGGGCTTGGGGGCCTGGGCCGGGCAGGCATCCGGAACAAGCATCGTGCATCGACCATTTCCGCGATGTCCGGATGCCCGGCTTCAACTCACCCGAAACAGTCTCAACCCCTTCACATTCCTAAACCCCTGACAAAGTCAGAAACAAAATCTTGCAGAGCCGTAGCTTGCGGGGAGGAGCTCGATGGTCTTCCCAGGCAAATCGATTTCCTGAAGCAACGCATTGAGGATCCCATGGGCTTCAGAGCAGTGTGCTGCCTGCAACTGAAACAGCGGAGGTGCAACTTGCAACAGCCACTGAATCGACGGCAAACCTCTCACTCTCAACCGTCCCGATGTTGCATCTGCCGAACTACCCCGGCTGCGTCCTAGCCGAATCGCAGTTGCAGAAATCAGGGCCCCTTACGTAGAATCCTGACCAGGGAGATCCTTAGTGTAAAGAACCCACAGTAACAGATCTCCGAAGGCTCCGACCTGGGTTCCGCCGAGTCACCACATTTGGGCTCTTCGCGAGCCGGCAGTCGAGGAGATCCCCTGCATCGACCTGCTGTTTGCCAGAAACACACTGTGACACTGTGACATTCTACACTGTTATGTCATGCCACATTCCGTCATGGTATGGGTACATTATCTTGTGGTATGGTGTGGTATGGTCCAGAGACACCTTGCGACATTCTACCTTGCTATGTCATGCTATTTTCTGTCTTGGCATGGGTACATTCTGCTGTGACATGGCGTGGTGCGGTACAGTACGGCATGGTAAGGTATATATAGTATGTTGTGTATGTTATGATACCGTAGGTTTTAGAGATTAGGTTCGGTCAGGGTCGGCCGAGCTAGACTAGGCCAGGATACATTAATCCTTCGTATATGCATCATATTGTGTCATAATATAACCGGCTATACCGTAGTATTCTATAGCAGATTACATTAGACCGATTCGATGTATGGCTTGAGTTCATTAGATTCTGTTGGAGCATTGGGCGACACCATGTTCGATGACAAGGCCAAAGTATCTGGTTTATACATCGAAGGTCATCAAGCCACTGCTTCATACTGCTCCAGGCCTGAAGCATCTGCGACAGCTCCTTCGCAGAATCGTGCGACTTTCGTGCGGGGTACAGAAATCAATAAAGCATGACAGCAATGAAACAGCGCATGGGCTTCCAGTTGAGCGGACTGCGAGGTTCTTGCAGACAAGCAACCGTCAAATTACAGAGAGCTCCAATCACTCCAATCCCCGAAGCGACGCAGGCCTTGTCGTAAGGCCCCGGGACACCCAAATGGCTGGTGCCAGTATCCACGACTCCGCGGCAAGTGCCATCCTGCTCTGGAACCAAAGGTACGCTCGAAGCAAAGGCAGAGATTGGGAAGGCGAACATAGGTCCTGTCCGAAAGTAAGCATCCTCTACTGCCGTGGACCCTGTGACCCAAGTGCTTATAAAATGCAGAAGACTCAAAAAGATGCAGAGAGAGTCGGGGCCTTGCAGAAGTCCAGTTCCACACCACCCACACGAACGGCCAGAATGGGCACAATCCTCGCTACATCGCTGCTTCAGAGGGTCTCGACACATCTCGAGGCTTCGGCTCACTTGCAAATGCAGATCGCTGAATCTGCATCTTTAACGGCTGCAAATCACCCCAAGTCGGAGACAGGTTCGGGCTGATCGAGACAACCGCTACGAAATGGTGGGTAGTGGAGATTGTTCTTCGCCATCGCCACTGTCATCCTCACCATCAACATTAAAGACAATATGAGACCGTCGTCGCCGCCATCACTGATATTGTCGTCGTCACTTCTTTTTTTACTTTTGAAGGGCGAGCTGCCTAGCCGATGGCAAAGACGAAAATGAGACGAATGCGGAAAAGCAAGAGGTGGCGATGCCGACCACGAAGATGACGATGAGCATGGTGCGGATGATGCTGGCGGTGGCGGTGGCTGCGGAAGGGCCGGCATGATAGTGTGATGTTGGTGGTGACGGATTGTCTTGTGCAGGTTCTTGCGGCGCTGATTCAATGATGAAGACGCGCCGTCGCATTGGTAACTAGATCATTGAATCTCAGCCCAAGCAGCCAGTAGCCGAGCTCGGGCATGTAGACCTGACTTGGCAGACGAAGAACCCACCCTAAACTCCCTAAACCAGTGTCGGAACAGCCACCGCAACGAGGCCCTAAAACTCTGGACACCAAAGCCCCTCAGACCTCTAAGCCCAAAGGAAAAAATCCAAAACCCAGCCGCTCTCTCTCTCTCGCACGCAGACTCAGAAGTCTAAAGCCCTAAATCACAAGCTCTGAAACAAGCCTGACAAACTGAAAACCGCCTATAAAAAGCACTCTCTAGAGCACTCTCGTAACAGCTTTCTCTACTTGGCTCTGGGCTCCCGACCTCGCTCCAGCTCACTGGCTCAAGCCTCGGATCGGAGAAAAAGGGCGAACGAAGCTCTCAAGGCCCCAAAGTGAAATTACACTACTGCCCCGGGAAAGGACAAGGCATCAGTGAATGCTGGGTCCAAAAGATCTTCATGATCAAACCAGCCTTCAGGTTTGTTAACCGCTGAATGCGGGCTGCTTAAGGGTCCTATGAGAGTTCTGGAAAGGCTCTTTCCTTGCCTGGCTAAGGCCAAGGAATAACCGATGTTGATGAATCGCTTGGATTTTGTAGGATTTCGGGTTTAAGGGGTACGGTATGGTTTGGGCGCATGGCATGGCTTTAAGGATACGGAATTCCGGGTGAATGTTGGAGTGCTGAACTCCCAAGCTTTGTCGGCGGCTGAAGTGCCAACTCCTGTCGTAGCCGAGGAATCTTTCAGGGGCAGGCTTCTGGGCAACTGCGGGGCCTTGGGCAAGACATTGCTAGTGTTCATTGGGACAGCCCAATGTTGATTGTCATTAAGGCCCTAAACCCTAAACCCTAAACCCTGTCGCGTGGAACAAGATCCCACCCAGACATCATTCGAGAGGCATGCGCCGTGAGTCGGCACCACCGAAGGCTACCTCAGACGGCTCAACGTCCTGCAAGGTCTCTCAAAGCGAGTTTCAATTCTCGGCGGGAGTTGGCCTTTTGGGGCTTCCCACAACCAGAAACTCTTCCAAGCCCCTACAACCCTCCACCGGAATATGCTGCCCGCAAGCCTTGACCTGGGCCCTCAGAGCGTAACCCTTTGCTCCTCGTTGTCGGTCAGGAAAACACCGAAATGGGGCTGCCGAGCCATTCCATTCCGCACCAGCCTTAGCCGCAGCCGAGAAGAAGAGGTCCGTAGCGTAACGGTTTCGGCTTTATCATCGCGACCACGGCTGTGCATTTTGGCTCTCCATTTCTTGCGGCATTGTCCTGCAAGCGGGTCTTCATATAATTTTCGGGAACACAAGCTGCGCAGCTCGATCCGGAGCAAAAGTGCTGCTACCGACTTGTCATACGCCTTAAGCTGCCGGGTTCTGCTTGCATCTGAACGGCTTATAGCAAACCCCACAAAGTTAGAAACCGCATTAAGGACAAGTAGTGCTGGGATTCCCTATACATTACTCTTAAGGATTGAGGCTATTAGGTTTCCGACTTTGGGGCTTCTACTGTAAACCGTACAAGCGGAGGCTGACGTCATTACAAACCCACGAAGTTGTGCCTGTTACACCCAAAGCCTCGTCTGATGTCTCTGTATTGCTGCCTGTCCATGCTGCGCATTCCGCGCGAAAAGGCCCAGCTCAGAGTCCGGATTCCTGTCGGCATGGGCAGGGCACCTTTGGCCACGCCCAATATCTGTCAGATGCCTCAGCACCGCAGTAAATCGGTTGCTGCCATGGGGGCATGAAAGCTAGTGGAGAGAGAAGGTAGAACGTAGATGTTGGGCTCCCAAGTTCTTCATTCTAGTTGCTTCCACTCGCAGCTTCGCAGAACTGACAGGCACCCTTTGCAACTCTCCCTTCCTTGGGGTGGCTTCCGAGTTCAACCTTTGAGGAAGGCCTCCAGGCAAAGTCTCAGTCTCCAGATTGAGCCATCAGCGGCAACGCGACCATGCCGCCTCAGCCACAGCTTTCGATGTAGTCTCGCAAGCGTACGACGATGATGTTCTTGGACGTCGCGAATTCGCGAGCTTTCCCCACGACCTGCATCTCTTCCGAGTGTGGCACTTTGCCCCGTCGACCAGCGGTGCATAAGAAGAGCAGCCGTTGCCTGGGCCGAGCGATTGCGAGACAATCAGATGGTCAGTATTTTGTGAATCGAAGTGTGTGACAAAGCTGTGCAACATTAATTGAAATTCAGTGTATATCGGACTGGATTTGCTAAACCTGGTGGGAGCTTGCGGAGAAAGCCAACGCTGTTTTTCCCATCATCATGAGTGGTCTGCAATGGACAGCATAGTCAAAACCACAGTTGCCCCAAGCACCGCAATCTGAATCGCTCGGTTCGCTGCAGGTCTTAGGACTTAGGAGATGTGTGGTCGGACGTGACGACCGGACATGTCGTGTCTGGCTGTTGCTTCTGTCATGCTGCGGCATCATCGAACTCACATCACACATGACGAAGGGGTACTAGACAAATCGCTGGCTTGGTTCATTCCTTCAACACTGTTCGGGAGACAAAGATTACTCGAAAGAGAGCGTGTCGAAACTCGAACCACAAGACCACCAGTGTCGCCCTTTATTCAACCACATATCGATCTCACTTCTGGCTTGTTGCGATTGTTCTCGATACGGGAATGCCGCGGAATGCCTGTAGAAAGGAACCCCTGAAATAGATTGAGCAATGGCAGTTTAACAATTTTGAACCCAGTAACCGCATACGAATCGCGACTGCATCCTGTAAACATGCTCTGCCTAACGAATTATTCCTTGGGTGGTGCTATGGCTGGGATCTTAAAACGATATCCGAGGGTGCAGAAAAGGCTGGTGCCATACACCTAAACAGGCAAGCTACCCTCTGGCTCACTACACACAGTTTACGGGTTGTTTCCTATCTGCACCCGGTTCACTCTGCTCCAGATCATGCAAGCAAGGTGCCAGAGTCAGTAGGATGGCGCACGCAGCCGTGACTTGCACGAGCGGGATGTCCTCGACCTGACATCGCAAACGACAGCGGCAATGGGGATGAGTGTTCCTCGACCATGTCGGTTCAACATCCCTTTAAGTCGAGTCTCCGAAAATGTGAAGCTCGTACACGCGCACGCGCACACACAAAGCGGGCAGCGAAACCAAGGGCTTCTACTGCAATAGGCTGCTGGCGAGCTGCTCACAACATCTCACAGCAAGCCTCCAGCAGGTCTTACCATAACACCCACCGTATAATAAAACTCCGAGAGGCTCTTGAGATGGGTGCAGTCGAAGACTCGAGGAGAGTCGTGGCATTCCGAAACCTAGGAGAAGCAGGCTCGCTCCTCTCTTTCGCGCCGCCACTGGTCTTGCAAACTCGAGAGCTTTCTCTACCCCGGCAGCCCCCCACCTGAGGGCCTCGCGAGCCAAGGCTCCGGAGCGGAACATCGGTACCTGGTTCATGTGCCGAAGCACCAACACGAAACGTCTCAGCCGTGACTTCAAGTGTAAGTGCAAAGCTGGTTCGGGTAGAAGCTTCATCTCAACAGGGGAAGGCTGTACAAGGAAGGGTATACTGTACTCGATTGCCGCCGCGCCGGGGCCCGCTGTAAGCTGCTTGAGACTCTAGGACTCCAGGGCTGGCAGCCTCCACGGGTGCGAGATACTCCGAGACAGAAACGGCTCAGCCAAGCCAAAAACCTTTGGTAAAAGAGAGAACAGATGGCAAAGATCTGGGTTCACCAATGCCCAAGTCTCACTAAAAAGGTTTCAGCACAGCCTCTCGACATGTAGCACCCTCTCATCACACGTATCTACCGAATCTGCGGAGAACCCTGGGTCACAGTGGCCACTCCCGGCGCAGCGCAAGCAGCCAGAGTAGCCAAAGCAGTCCGAATCGCGGTTGCAACTGGTCGGAAGGGTCGGAGCACCACTCTAACTTGAGGAGCTATTAAACGCAAGGACGCCGCTGCCCCCTACCCGAGTCCACAATCAGCGGATGATTCAGAGGGCACAGAACAAGAACAGGCTCAGCAAAAGCAAGCATAAGAGAACGCACTCCCAAAAGAGCCCCAAAAAGAACCGGACAGCCTAGCACCAGCCATGAAGTGCTCTGCATGCTCTGCTTTCTGCGCACTCTTGGGAGCCTCGGCCCTCGCTGGCCGCTGACGCAATGGCCGCCTGAGGATAACAGGTGATCTGATTTCTTGTGTTCGGAGGGTTCGCGCCAAAAAAAGCTAAAGCAATCTGGGGTAAAGAACATTTGTTTTCCCAATAGTTGCTTGCTGGGGAACATAAGATTTTCCTCAATATGTTCAGTAGGGGAACTCTATGTCTATGAGCACGAATTCCCATCGATGGCATGTGCTAGTATGCATGCCTCTGACTCTTCGGCTGCCAAGTGTGGTGAGTGTGATGGTTGCTTGTTGCACTGCTCCTTCGTGTTTTCGGAAGCATTGCCACCGTGAAGACGATGGTTCGGCTGACGAGAATCATTCCTGCCATGACATCTTTTTAATGGCATGGTCTGTCACCCGTCATAGTATCAAGTTCTGGTACTACGAAAGGCATGTTGGAAAGACTGCGTCGTCGGCAATCTTGCCGACACCACCGTGCTTATCGCGACGAGCTGATTGTCGGGGATACAAGTGCACTGCACCTCACTCCACCTTACTTTTATCGACAATATCGCTCACAGCCGCCCCGTCCCAAATGGTGAGCCCTTCCAAAATGCCCAAAAACGCAAAAATCCTCGACCTGCGCATGCGAACACCAAAAGCAAAACCGCCCTGGCCCGGAGCCCCCTAGGCCCCTTCAATCACTTCGGGACTGACTTGCTGCACTAAACTACGGGACGTTCCGAGCAAGACAGGCAACTCGATGCAACCGAAACAACCGCTCGGCACCCGCGACGGGAAGAAATCCTTTAGACAATGAGGAGCTGTCCCTCAGGTTCTCCGATCTGCCTCCACCTCCGCTGGGTGGACGAACATCACCTTTGCCGCAGACGGCGTAGAAGCCTCGACCGCTGCTACGATTCTGATGAAGACATGGCTATGATCCTGATGACACACCCAACTGGTCATGCTCTTCGATAGCCATGTCACGTCGCACATCGGCAAGGTGCCATCGACCGCTCTGGTCCTCGGTAGAAACGATGGGCACAAGGCGCTGGTGATGCAAAGTGGCGTTTCTCCACTTTTAGCAACGGCTAAAACAAAGGCATGTCACAAGAAAGCAAGCATGGAGGCCTTGCAAGCCGAGAGCTGCAGCTGCTTCTGGGTGCCCTCAGTTTGCGGCTCAAGTACCCTAAAACCCGGGGTGTCCTGCACTTTCTGTTGCAGGAACATGAGAAGCTCTCTCTCCAAGGCATGCATGACCGTGGTCTCAGACGGGGCTTTGATACAAACCAGGAAGAACAAGTACCTCCCTAAGTTGCGGCCCTCTCAGCATCAAAGTGCTGTTCCGAAGGAGCTGCACAACAGAGAGCTCTCTCTCGGGCCACATCCGGCCCTACATCAAGTGCAGACCCAAGGCAAACTCGAAGACACAGTAGCCGGCACGCTGCAATTGCCTCGCGAAGAGCAGCGGGAGGCTCCGGCTGCAAGGCTGCCCCTCCGATAATGGCCAGGACACGAAGCCGTGTCCACCAAGTCGAGGCCTGAAGCTCGGGCACCATCCATGACCTCCGCAGCCAGTCTGGGCTGCAAAGCTATCGGCCGAAAGGATCAAGGACGACTCTTGGGCTCTTGGCATGCAAGCCGGCTTCTGTCAGTTTCCGCGAGATCCTCACTCCCCCATGCAGCCACGAGCTGCAACTTTGCCCCTGAACCCCGTGGCCTGCAACGGCCCCTCCGCAAGAGCACAAACCTGCACGGAAAAGCACAGGCGGATCGCGTGCTTCATGCATGCAGCGACTTGCGTGGAAGACTCAGCAACAACAAGCAGCAAGAAATCGGCATTGAGTACCGGAAGCAAGGAGGACAAATCAAGCATGACGTCAGCAGGTGGCGGCCGCAGTAGTGGCAGTGGCACAGGTAGGAGAAGCACGAGTGGCAGTCGTGGTAGCAATAGTAGTCGTCGTCGTCGACATTGTCGTCGTCGTAGTGCAGGTAGTGGTAGTGCTACGCACTCGTAGCAGAATCAGCAGCAGCAGCAGCAGCTGCAGCGGAAGGCTGTCCGCACCTAGTGACAGCTTACACGCCACCAACGCTTGCATATTTTTCAACATCATGCACCGGACCATCACAATCCTACGTTACATAGAAGTCATGTAGCTTGTCCAGGAAAGCCAAATTGCCCATAATCACCCTGTATACAGTATACAGGCCACTTCTCGAATTTCGTCGCTTCCGATGCATTCCACGCAAAGAGCACGCACGGCTGAACCCTCTGACAAGAGCCTGCCGGAAGAAGTCGTCAGCATCGTCCACACCGGCACAGCGCCCGTGCTTCTCCCACTCGTGGCGCTGGAACCTTCAAGGCGGATGTTGAGCCGGGGTGGGAGAGAGAGAGAGAGACACAGAGAGAGAGAGAGAGGGAGGAAGACAACAGTGAATGGGAACTGTAGCTATCATGTCTTACAGCAGCCTGTCTAACGTCGCAGCGCAAGGAATGCCCAACGCTCTTTTCGTTTACCATGCCATTTTATGACGATGGGGACTGCGTGCAGTACATCCAAAATGTGGCCAAGGTGCGACAGAGCCGAGTTCGACGACCCCTGAGTGTTGTAACCTGGTCGAGCGAAATGGAACTGTTTCTGCCATGCCCATCTCTTGCTCATCTGATGCTGTGAGACAACGGGAACGTATTCGTCTCACAGTGCCTTTAACCCAAAGCATGGTACCGGCTGGCGTATCATGACAGCAACAGAAGCAGTAGCAAAACCAGTGAGCAACATCAGCAGTCGCAGTGGTGGCAGGAAAGTGCTACATGTTACTGCGACAGCTGCTCATAGGCTAAACTGGTTGAGACATTTGCCGCAAACCTCAACCCCGGGATTCACGGCAGATCGTTTTTGTGCTTTTAGATAAACGAACAGCTGGTATAAGGAGCAGAAGGCGCATCGGTATTGTTGGCATCGTTGAGGCTTCAAAGCGCCGAAACACAAAAAAGCTCCGAGTAGACAGCAACATAGGAAGTTTCAGCGCCTAGCATCGGTCTTGGTGGGAATGTTCATCCGGAACAACAGACTCCAGATTCTCAAATTGAGTGCTTCAATCTCAGTGCTGATCTATTGTGGATGATGAATCGATCCCGCCGACAATCTCAACATCAATCAAAGGCAAACTCAGAGACGAAGGACAGGGATAGATCCTTCGTGGTGAAGCCGGGTCCTGTGCGGCATGCCACGCTGACATCTTGTGGGAGGATTCGCTTTCGGACAAAGGGTCGGAAGCCCAGCATCCTCACAACACTGTACTGCCGGGAATTGTGTGGAGTATGCAAGAAGAAGCAGATCGAGCCAGGTGCTTCTGAAATCTCAACACGGGTGGAAAAGCGATACTGATACTCATCATGTGTGCCGACTCCACGTCGTGCATTGCGCAGGAGCTCGACGGCGTGGATTCCACGTGCTCGGATCTCTACAACCGGTGGCACGTCCTCCGGGTACTCGCACTTGGACGTGCCGAAGCTGGGCGTCTCCGGCCAGAGACCATGAACCACCGGACTGGGCAACGCTATGAAAACATGTTTGACCATCAAGAGCATGAGGCACAGTCACTGATGCAAACAGCCGCTTCCATTGTGATCATATGGATATCGGAAGAATGCATGCTTCTACTCACATGATCGCAGCACGCACGTAGCGTCACCGAACGCAAAGGCTCCAAGGAAGCAAAAGGAAGTGAAGTTTCTGTCAGACAAGAGTCTGTGGGTGATGGTAAGCGCCGCTCCCAGTTCCCATCTCCAGTGCCAGCACGCCGCAAACCTCACAAGAAAGGCCCAGAGGCCCAAGATGGACAAGAGGAGGGCTGTCTGACTGCGTCGTTTCGCGGCAATGGATGACACCGAACATGCTACTACCAGCCATGACTTCTGCATCCAGAGCTAGAAAGGCCATGCAGCTGCAGGCTGAGAGCTGCAGACTGCAGAGTGCTGGATACCTCACAGAGCCCTTCCCAAGCTCAAGCTCAAGGGGCCTCTACATCCGGACCGCAGTCCAGCCGATGACCGTGGCTCCTCGTATGACATTGCAGAGCTTGCTGAAAAGAGCCCATGGAAAACTACAAGCTCTGTGACTCTGCAGATGAATAGCACAATGGGAAGGCTGGATCTTAACTGCATGCACGTCTAAGCGAAAGCTCTGCCATCTTGGGGCCAGGATGCTCCATGGGACTGCACACACCCCTCGCCGGCTGGTTAGTGCTTCCCGTTCCCGAAGACGGAGACTTCAAGTTCTTGATGCAGCCTGCTCCCAGATCTACCATGTTATATGGTCTAGGATTCTAGGAATCGGAGATGTGAAGATGTTTTGTTGAAGCTTCTAACTTAAGTCGCCTACAGTGCTACAGGCTTTCGCTCATGTTGCTCTTGCCTCCTCACCTTGGTTCGGGCAGGTCTCTCGAGGCTAGCTCGTCTCTAATGGCGGGTCTGTTGTGAGCTGCATGCCGTGTGCATACATTCAAAGCCGTCGTCACCAACATTGCATCGGCTGGCTTGGGAGAGAAGCAGGCCATCAGCACTGCACCGCGGTGCCTTGCAGCGTCCTCGGTCTTGGCTTATGGACGTTTTGGCTGGTGACGAACTGTGCCGAGTTGTTGCCCCTACTACACGTATCCGCTCTTGCAGAACGTACGCAGAACCATCAGAAGCAAGAAAGAGGACTGCATGCGCTGTTCCCAAGAAGTACTGCATGGGGCTCCGTGGTTGGGGGGGGCTCGCGGCTAGCCATTGCTTTCCTCCACGGCCTACCTTCGTAGCACACCAAGGGCTTTCGGCGCCAAGCATCGTTGCCAAGAAGGCGGCAAGTGCAGACGCCACCAGACAACTTCGCGCCATGTGATTCCAGCAACAGGGCAATTCTTGCCCGCTCGACCCGCTCAAGTCAGGAAGGGAAGAGGCAGAGGCAGGGCTTGCCTATAGACAGATTTCTGAAATTAGGACACTTGGTGCCAGCGACTCGAAATTCGGCACTCTGGCACTCTCGGCTCTTGGCAGAGCTTCCGAAAGCTTGCGGCGGAACGTGTAGCAGTGTAGATCATTCGGCATGAGGAACAAGCTCCAGGAAAATGTGGCGTCACAACCTTCAGGCGCTGTGCCCTCAACCCACCACATCAGCCTGGTCAAACTTTCACAGTTCATGTAAGAACTTCAAGACCTGGGCTCCGAAGGAGCTTCGAGAAGCTTAAGAAACGACCAACACCGCCGAATCCTTAAACCCTAAAGGCCCTGAAGCCCAAGAAGCGCCCCATCGGGCCCCAGGCATGTCAAAGGTGCTGAAGTTCCGATTCATGGCCAGGCCGTCCAAGCTGAGGCCAAGGATGCCATCCTCGCATCTCTGAAGATCGCTTCTGGTAAAGGAAACTAGAGGTGTGGGGAGTTTAGGGTATATACTGTAGGTCTTCTATATGGCTTCTATACGGTATATAGACCTTCTATGAGGCTCCTATAACGGTAACTACCCACTTGAACATGTCCAGGACTCCTTACTTCCACACCGAAAGGAACTCTCAGTCTCAGGGCCCGACGAACTTGAAGGTCTTGAAGGGCACCGTGGACATTTCCACTGCCACGATGATGTTCATCTCGACGCACATTGGGCCTCAGGCGGGGAACGGAGGCCATAAGCAGAATCACAGCGTTGTGAAGGACTCTCTCCACCGCCCATGTCAAGTAGGTGATCATGCATGTCATGCATGTCAAACCCCTCCGCTTTGAGAAGGGTCGGGGTGTGCGGAAAGCTCTTCTGGCAAAGCCCGTCCCCATTAATTCCTTCCTCTGCAACACAGACGAAGCGGCTGTGGTCAGCAACAACTTCAGCTCCTTCAGCATTCGCTATGTCTTCGTCCTGACAACAGGGGTTGAGTTATCTCGGCAAAACAGAACGTTAGGGCTCAGGTGCGCATCTGTGGAATGCCTCAGTAAGCCTGATGCTCCACAATCCCAACCTAAAGCCCATTGATACGGTACTCCGACATTCCAGCAGGTCTCTCTCCTCCAAGTAGTCGCCCACAAGAGTCTCCTGCTTGATCAGAGCGGCGATTTCCTGCTAAAGGGTGCTGCGTCAAGGTTTCAAGCGTAGCCGGGTGCACGCGCAAGTTGCAGCAACCCGAGCCCTGTCTGCTCCGAAGGGGAACACAGCCAGGCTCTGTCTGGGATTCGATGCTGTTCGTTGCACAGCATCCCGACGGAGTCGGATTATTGAAATTGCTACCACTTTCAAGAAGCTTACCCAGCTCTGCCAGGACAGAGAACAGCTGCAGATGGAGTCAAAGACGGCTTGATGAAGTGTTGCTGAACTGTTCTCCGTCGTCAAGAATCTCGTCTGGCAAAACGAAGACACACGGACCCACCAAAGAGTACGAGCGTCTTTCTCGCCAGTTCGAGTGCTCTTGCAAGGCACTCCAGGCAAGAACTTCAGGCCAGCAGTGCTTACAAAAATCAGAAGTAAGCCAGAACAACGCAAGCAAGACAAAGAGGAAGTTTCTTAAAGCAATTACAGGGGTACTGGGACGATAATTTGGGGATCCTTGGAATACAGCTCGATCCTATTCGGATTGTAATAGTAAACCCAAGCTACCGTTGCGAAAGGATGATCTGCGGAACTATGGGAATTCTTCATGCTTCCTCGGTCAGACCATTGATGCAAACAAGCAAAAGGTCTCAGAGGCCCATGGCATTCCAAGACTGGTCTTTCAAAACACTGTGACTCAAAGACGGCCACTGGCTCTTGTCTTTACAGACTCTTTGGCCCACATTGAGGGGCTCCACATTGAGAGTCTGCCAGAAGTAGCTTCGCAGCTCCTCGCTGCTTTTCAAGTTTCAAACGCCGGTGCTCTCGGTGTCACCGGGGCCACTTCGCTCGGCTGAGCTAGCTCAGGAAGCAGCCTAGCTTTGAATTCATAGCCGCAAACCCACAGGTCCTGCATTTCGCTCGGAGTTCAGGCCTGGTGCCTTTGCTTTGCATTAAAACACTTGAAACTGCAGATTGCTCCGATCATGCGCACGCCTCCATCCCCCTTGCGCTTGACAAGTGCTTGAGGAGAGGGTCGCAGGGCATCTCCCAGCACCGGAAGTCTGAGACTTCTGCTTTTGTTTTTTTCGACAAAACACGGCGTTCAGAAGCATTAGTGAGCGTTTGTTGCAAGCATGCTCATCCATGTTCGTGCTATGCTTGTTGCTGCTATCAGTGTTTGAAGGCATCGGCGAAGTATCCCCCTTTTCCTATCACTACTGTGTGGCTTTGTCGTAGTCTCAGACCTTCCGCTGCCATGGTACTTTGAAAAAAGTTATCTTTTGGAGCTCGACCACCTGCGCCGCCTGCTACTCACAGCAAGCAAGGCTGACGCAACCTGCCCTCACTTTGGGGGGATGCATATCTTTCTCGTCGCGCTGCAGTGTGTTTTCAACCATGTCACAACTCCAAATCCAGTTCTGAAGCACAAGAAAACGACTAGGGAGGAACAGGAACTCGTACGGCTGCTTTGCGATGGAACCCGGGAACTTTGGATCCTTTCTACTACTCCAAGCCATATGCATCCCCAGACGTGGGTTTGATGTTGAGAAGTTGTGGGAGGTCCCCAGCACGGATTGTTTTCGATCAGCTCACCGCTACACAGATCTACGTACTTGGGATTGACCAGCTTGTCTGGGAACTCTCTTAGAAGTCTTGTGTCGAACCAAATTTTCCGTGATAATGACCTATTCCTGAACAATCCGTGCCGAATAGGGTCAAAGAGCACATCGCTCCGGAAGAGAGACCCCCTTTGAGAAGCTCAAAGCTCTTTCAACAAGCGTCCGAGTGGGGCCGCCCAAAATGTCCCATCTGGATGGCTCAAATGGCAACTTTGTCACACATACGCCGCTGTTTGGGGTTTATGCGTCTTGTCTTTGAGGTTTAGGTTGCCCAGTATGTCGCCAGTTTCCCACCTTTCAAGGCACACATGTCAGTGGCTTCCGAGTTCAAGCACTCATATACAAACACCTTGATTCTAAATACGACTTCAAGGTTCTGACAGGCTGCTTTACTTCGACCGGCAAGCCTCTTGCTAGCATGTTGTTACGTCCGTTGGTGGTAGTGTTCTACGTCGGTTGGTGGTAGTGTGGGGTACTATTCTGAGGGTTCTTAGTTATGGAATAGCCCGCGAGGTATCACTCCTCGAGACTCACCTGTTTGCTACAGTAGCAGGAGGGGAGTAGTAGTAGTAGTAGTAGTAGTAGTAGTAGTAGTTTTGTCACCCACTTGGCACGTCAACGACAGCACTGAAGTAGTAGTAGTAGTAGTAGTAGTAGTAGTAGTAGTAGTAGTAGTACAGTAGCAGTAGTAGTGTAGGTAGTAGTTTTGTAGTAGCAGCAGCAACCGAACTTCCGTAATTTTTCCCACCTCAGGACCAGGACTTCCGGGCTGCCTGGCTACAGCCTTTTCTGGTCAGCGGAAGCTTCGCAGTAACAGCCTTAGCTGTCAGGCACAAGGTCCATCCGCCGGCACCCGAAACTACACATTATAGTGCACTTTTAGATATGGTATGTATGTATGTATACATATATATATATATATGTGTGTGTGTGTGTGTATCTTCTAATTATGTCATACGCTGCCCGTGTAGGCCAGGCGGCACAGCACCGGCTCCGAGCATTACCGTGGCTGGGAGCCTCAGGTGGCAGGGTTCGTAGGCCTTGGACTCCAACCTCGGCGGGGCAGGGCCAAAGCTAAAGCTCTTCCAAACATCAGAGGGTTTCGACTCACACACTCGCACGAAGCCGGCGTGGCAAAGAGACGTCCCGAGCTTGCTACATCAGAAGGTTTTGGGTTTCGACTTTCACTCTCGCACACGCAGGCAAGGCTCCTTACTAGGGTTTAGGGTTGAGCAGGCTTTTTTCGTACGTGAGGACACCAGCTCTCTTCGACTTGCGCGGCAAGTTTTTTGAGGTCCTGGCTCCGCAGCTTTGGGCGCAATCGGCACCTCGGACTTTTCCGCCTGCGAAGCATTCGAGGCTTCTTCCGAAAGCCGCTGCTGCGGCGTACTTCGCTCGGAAAGGCTGCATGCTAAATGCTCAAATTCCAATCTTTCTCTACAACCGTACCAGGGTTACCATGTTAGGAGGCTGCCAGTGCGAGCCTCTGAGCAAGGCGGGTCCGCATCCGAAAGCACCTCGGCACTCGCGGCTACGGTGTTCTCCAAAAGTTGCTGAAACCTCGAGGCTCTGAGAAAAACGGTGCTTCGGCTCATTAGTATTCTAGTGAAGTCTAAGTCTAAGCTGTCATCGATGCACAGAGCTTGAGCTTGCCGATGCCAATGGCGGATCCATCTGAATTCGAAAACTGCTTTGCAATCTTGTAGCCGGCATTCCTGCGACCTTCTCCTGGACAGAAGTGACAATGCACGCCCAAGCCCATGGAAAGCTTCGGAGGTGCGTTCTCATCTAATCACTGAAACTCCCTGCTAATGACTTACTGTAGACCTCTGATTCATACACCCTTCCCCTCAACAGGATTACAACAGCGATTCTAAGACTGGGTGCTAAGGGGTCACAGCAACGAAAGGTACATTACCTGCTTCCTGGTCCTCTGAAACAATGCTCTGGTTTCGCTTGCCTCCCCGTCAAGCCCGAAAGTGCCCTTCCTCTTGCCCTTGCAGCACGGACCAAACCCTTTTGTTAAGCACGGACTTGCAATGTATGCCCGCAGCGAAGCTCGAGGGCAGAGCCTACCTCGGTCACCTAAACCCTAAACCTTAAACCCTAAACCCCCGTTTCAAAATCTCCCTCTTACACCGGCCTTCTCGCTGAAGGCCGTGCTCTGGCGGCTCAACTCTGGCTCAGGTTCCGGTGAGGAAGGCAGGGACGTCTGCCGGGACATGACGCCTTAGACTCCGAGGGAGGGCCTGATCTTCGGGGTATGAAAAAAAGGGGCCTTCTCTTCCTTGCTTCCATCTACCCACAAGAAGCTTCCGAGGGAAGCTTTCTGCCCAACGTCTGCTCTCTCAGAGCCTGAAACCCAACATCTCAAGACTTGAAGCCGAAGCGGCAGAGGCCAGGCCCCTCGAACTGCGTCGGTCTCACCATGCGGCCATCTTTCGGGCCTTGGGGGTCCACATGTTCCCGTGGTTTCGGCGCAGAGGCACTTTAGGGTTTAGGGCTTAGGGTTTAGGGTATAGGGTTTAGGGTTACTCTTCGTCTCTCTCTCATCTACTTCGCAGTGCGCTCCGTACAGGTGCACCAAAGGCTTCACGACAGTGAGAGGCGTTCGCTCCTCTCCGACTGGAAGCCACGGCCAAGGAGCCGCAGATGTGCAGGTGTTCAGCCTCCACCTTGAAGATGTAGGGAATCCTGTCTTGGAGATCTCCTTTTGGATTACCCATGCCAATGCCGAAAAAATCAAAGGAGTCATGAGCGGAGTGAATACACCAGAAAGGAGGCGGCTCACACAAGTCGTGCTACCAGTCAACTTGTGCCGTGGTCAGCGGAATCGCTCTCCCCGGTGCCCTGACATCTACAGAGTGCGCGTCCAACCTGAAGCCAACATCTAACGAGAACTGCAACATCCAACGATCATGTGCTTAGTGCTTTACTCATACTTCCCTGACTCTTTAAGCCCCGCCGGCCTGGGTGGAGCTGGATTTTCGCCACTGTGCAGGACTTCCAAGTCCAATGAGGCGGGTGAGGTGCTGCCTTCGGCTAAGCTGGTTCCCTGCTGGATCTATATTAAACCTGGTCATGTTTAATCCTTATTGAGTATTATTATAACAAATCGTACCCAACAAGGACCCAATAAAAACAGTAGGCCAGACTACTCTGCGTTAGACCAAAGGCTCAGGCAGATCAGGCACCCCTATGGAGTTCTGAACACAAACTGCTCAGAGTATGTTGAATTCTGCGAGAGTTGGATGTCGATGTCGATAAAAACATGAAGGTCACATGAAAACAATTAAGCGAACATAGATCCTCAAATAGATAGGCAGCTGGGTGGCGTTCTGTGCCTCTGTGCCTGTACTCATTGATGCACGGGCGTACATGCATACATACATGCATCAATCCATCAACCCA